TCACAGAATCAAAGATTTGTGCATAGAATCACAGAATATTCTGAACTGGAAGGGACCCACAGGGATCATCCAGTCCAACCCCTGGCCCTGCACAGACACCCCAACCATCCCACCCTGTCCCTCAGAGCGTTGTCCAAACCCTCCTGGAGCTCTGGCAGCCTTGGGGCCGTGCCCACTGCCCTGGGGAGCCTGGGCAGTGCCCCAGCACCCTGTGGGGGAAGAACCTTTCCCTGAGATCCAACCTAAACACCCCTGACACAACTTCAGGCTGTTTCCTCGAGTCCTGCCCTTCACAAAGGGGACCCCGGGGTGGTTTCATGGGGTTCCCATGGTCTTGCACAGACCACCTGCTTGGCCGTGTCACCAAATCACTTCTCCTTGGTTTGTCCTGCTGTGGAATAAAGCCAGTAACATTCACCTCACAGGGAGACTGAAAGGTGGGAGGCCATGGGGATGGCCAGGGCAGAGCTGAGCCGCGTGTTTGTTGTGCTCTCGCTGCCCCAGGAGGCTGGTGCTGCCTGAGGGAGAGTCTCAGCCCTGGGGAAGCACAGAGCCAAGCAGGCACAGCACATCAGGACAAGCCAACTCTCTGGCCATCTAGAGCTGCTCTCCCTGTCTCTGTGTCACCATGATGTCACTTCTCTGAGTGGTTTTGATTTCCAGGAAGGACAGTGAGGTCCAAACCGGTTTTACTGCTTTAGGGTCCCACTCCACAGCTCACAGCATTTCCTCCACTTCAGTGACCCCCTGAGACAGCCTGGGTTGGGTGATCCTGATCTAATGTCAAACTTAACCCTGTTCTGAGAGTGGGCTGGGATCAGTGACCCCCTTGAGTCCCTTCCAACCTCACTTTCATTCAGCCTGGCAGGACCAAATCAGCACAAGGGGAGCTGGAGATGGGCAGTGCTGTGGATCCCTTCCCCTGTCCAGGACTGGGCTCTTGCTGGGTGCAGAGTTAGATGATGCTGGGCCATGGTGGTAGTAGAAAGAGCTGCTGATCCCAGTGCTCACTGCAGCTCCCATGGTGCTTCTTACAGCCCCTCTGGGTAGCAGAAGCCACCTCAGATGCTCTTCTTAGGTGATGAGAGGGGCTGTAACGGGGCTTCGTCCTGCTCTGTAGCACTTCCAGTCTGATGACCAGACATGTCTTTGTCAGAGGGTCTCAGCACAGCACTACAGATGTTGACCAGAGAAGCTGTGGCTGCCCCATCCCTGGAAGTGTCCAAGGCCAGGTTGGACAGGGCCTGGAGCAGCCTGGGCTAGTGGAAGGTGTCCCTGCCCATGGCAGGAGAAAGGAGATGATCTTTAAGGTCCCTTCCAATCCAAACCATTCTATGATTCTTTGATTCTGTGTGTAGGGTATGGCCCTGCCCTATGCCCAGGCTGATGAAGAGTCAAATTTAGGATGCAAATTTTGGTGTGTGGGGGCTGGGACAGGTCTCTGTGAGCTGTAACTGTGTAAAACCTGCTACTGCCTCAACTGGGACCAGCAGCACGTCCCTTCCTCGGAGCAGATCCCTCCTGGGGAGGGCCAGTGGTGGTTGGGCAGGTGAGTGGAGCTGGGTTTTGGCACAGGAGGGTGTTTGTCTTTCTGCAAGCCCCGGGCTCAGCGCCGTGCATTGCTGAGTTGTGTAAGCACCGGGACTGCTGGAGGGGAGCTGCGGGAGCCAGCCCTGCCGGGATGCAGATAGCTGAGGCTGCTTCCCTGCCTGCCTTCCCTTCCCTCCCGAGGTGGGAGTGCTCCTGGCCTTTCCCAGAGCCTGGGGCAGTTTCCTGGCATTCCAAGCCCATCAGAGCTTGGAACTATGTTGCTTGCTCCGTGCTGGAGAAAGCGGTAGGAGCACGGGGAGAGCTGCTCGTGTGGAGTCCCAGGAGATGGGGGTTTTCTCCTGGCTGTGCTGAACCCCACAGAGAGAAGGAGAGGTTAAGAAGGTAGAAGGCAGCCACAGAGACATGGAGATGTCAGATATAAAAATGGCATTTGCACATGGCATATCCACAGGTATTGGCAGTGCGTGATGGCACACAGGGGTGCGTGGGCATCAGCCACAGCCGTGCCTGCAGGTAACGTGTATCCTCGTGCAGATAGTGTGTACCCATGTGCACATAGTGTGTGTCCACGTGCAGGTGGTGTGTACTCGTGTGCAGATAACATATTTACATGAACAGATAGTGTGTATCCATGTACAGTGTGTATCCACATGCAGATAACATGTATCCACATGCAGATAATATGTATCCATATGCAGATACCGTGTCCACATGCACATAGCATATATCCACGTGCAGATAACATGCAGCCATGTGCACAGTGTGTATCCATGTGCACAGCCACACACAAACAGCTGCAGCCATGCCCTGTTTGCACGTGGATGACACATGTGTACTTCCATGCACAGTCCATGTGTGTGTTTCGTGGGGCGAGATGCACTTTCTGTTAATGACTGCTCAGTCCTCTTTGTAATTGTGCTGTTTGTGCCTGGCTGGAGCCAGCAAGGAGAGTGGTGGCAGAGGTCCAGCAAGTCTGGGTCACATGGAGCAGCTCCAAACTATTGCATAAGTCCCGTCTGAAAGTGGACCTGCTTGGTGGAGTCATCTCCTTAAAGCTAAAGAAGTCCGAGGCTGGGAGCTCTGGGCTGCTTGGTGGCCACCTTCCTTCTGCCTGGAGCTGGCTGGTTCAGCAGCTCCATCAAGGCTTACCCTCGTGCCTGACACCCTTCCCTGCGGGTGATCCCAGCTGGCACTTCTCTCCCACTTTCCTGTTGAGGACCTCCGAGCATTTTACCACACTTGGAGCAGTGCAATGACCCCAGCTGTCAGATAGGGCCAGATCCTTATGTAACACAGAGATAGGATTTCCAGAAAGCAAAGCAGGCAGTGTCAGAGCAAGGTCGGTGCTCTCAGCTCTCCACTCACATGCCCTCACTTGGTCATGGGCTTCTTTTGCCCCTTTGCTGCTAAAATTAAAGACCCTGCTGGATTTTGGAGAGGAGCAAGGGGCTAATTCAGTCCTTTTCTCACTCAGATCACTGAATAGACTTGACTGTAAAACAATTCTCGTGTTTTAGAAAAAAACCTACTCCCACACAGTGCTGGAGGGAGCCCAAACCCCTGTGAAGTTGTTGTACAAAGGGATGGAGGGTGTGCCCAACTTGAGCACAGCAGGGCCCAGCTGGGGCGGCACAGAGAGCCTGGGAGAGGGAGCTGGTGGTCTGAAGGCAGGGAAGGTGTTCACCCAGGCTGGCACTGGGGTGCTGGCAGGGGGGTGAACACCCCGGATCAGACCCCTCACTCCTCAGGTTCAGACTGGCAGAGTCAGTCTGGATTTCCCACGTTGCCTGGTTGGCACCTTTGGATGGGGTTGGAGCTGATTTTAACAGTGTGAAAGCAGCATCTCTCCTTCTGGCAAGCTCTGAACTGGACCCCACAGTGGCTGGGATGGGTGTCTGCAAAAAACTGCTCTCAGGGTGAGGTGAAACAGCCCTTATGAGCAAGGTGGGCTGCAGGAGTGTTGTGGGTCCCCTCTCAACTAGCAAGGAAGGGAAAGGCAAAGCCCTTGTCCAGTGTGGAATTGGGATCACGAGCAACGCGAGGGATGGTGAGGGGATCCGAAAGGGTTGCTGTGCAGGCAAAAGCAGTCCCGTGGCTGGAGGCTGTTGTGTTCTGCTGAACAGTGATAACTACATGTTTCTAATTCTTTGCTCGCGTGCCCCCAGAGAGGCCACACTTGGAGCAGCAAAGCAGATTACGGTTCAATCCTTTGTTTTCTCTTCTGCAGACCTGTGACTTTAACCCATTTCTCGCAGTTTCCAGATGCTCCCAGCATGACCTGCACGGTTAATGCTGATTTCTGTGGGTTTAACCCATAGTGCTACTCTAGAGCTGAGAACTGACTTCCCAGTGGAAGTCCTGTCGTGCTGGCAAGATGACTGCAAAAAGACTTCTGCCATCTGCAACTCAGCATGTTTTGGACTTGGCAATCCAGCCAAATATTTTGTCAGGAATACCAGGACATTCTCTTGCTGAAAGCCAGGGAGGTCTCGGGAAGCTTTGCATCCACTGCTGACCCCGTGCCGTGGGAGGAGCAGAGTGATGGGGGAGCAGGGCTGTTTATTGTGTCCTCAGGAACGTGCAAGAACCTGCCAGGAGCTGGGAGCTGGGGTGGGGACTGCACACCATGAAACACCCACTGCGTCAGGGGAGTACAGAGGGTGAGAACCCCCAGCCCTCAGCAAACATAAAACTGCATCAGCAACTGAGGGACCTGCCTTGTGCCATTCCCTGGGGTGAGCAGAGTCGAGGAGGTGAGCGGTGGAAGGGATGGAGAAATGGGGACATGTGATTTAGGAGCAGTTTCAAGCATTGCTGGTCGGTTGAGGGAGGGGATTGTCATGCTTTGCTCTGACCTGGGGTGGCCTCACCTTGAGTTCTGGGGGCAGCTTGGGGACCACAGTGTCAGAAGGATCTAAAACTGTTGGGGAGTGTCCAAAGGAGGGACACAGGGATGGGAACAGGTCTGAGGAGCAGCTGAGGGCACTCAGCTAGTTCAGCTGGAGCAGAGGAGACTGAGGGGAGACTCCTCGGGGGCTGCAGCTCCTGCCNAGGACACCCCAACAATCCCACCCTGTCCCTCAGAGCGTTGTCCAAACGCTCCTGGAGCTCTGGCAGCCTTGGGGCCGTGCCCACTGCCCTGGGGATCCTGGGCAGTGCCCCAGCACCCTCTGGGGGAAGAACCTTTCCCTGAGATCCATCCCAACCCCCCTGGCACAGCTCCAGCCCTTCCCTGGGTCCTGTCCCTGGTCCCAGAGCAGAGCTCAGTCCCTGCCCCTCCTCCTCCCCTCGGCAGGAGCTGCAGCCCCCGGGGAGTCTCCCCTCAGTCTCTTCTCGAGCTGAACAAGCCAATTACCTGATGTTGAGATCACAGGATGTTATACCTGTGTGTTCTATGCTGTCCCTGCCTGGAAGGACCATCCCTGACCCCCCCATGGGTTCTGTTCCAGCTGACGTGGACAGCGGCAGTGGCCGGACGGTCCATCATGCTCACGGACCCCAAGGAGAGGCAGGAGCAGGTGATCAGTTACCTGCCCCTCAGCCACATCGCTGCCCAGATGTCTGATATCTGGTCAGCCATGACCTTTGGAGTGCAAGTTTACTTTGCTCAGCCAGATGCATTGAAGGTAAAAACTTAATAATAAACCTACACCTACCCACCTGCTCGTAGCTCAAAACAAGGCTGTGTTATCCCGTGGTTCTGAAAGCTTTGTTGACTGGGTTTACTTGCTCAGTGACCAACTGCCCCTGTTGGTTTTAGAGCCACTCTGACCTTTGCCTTTTGACTCTCTCCCAAGCCTGGGAGAAACTGACCCAGCACTTCACAGCTGGGACCTGCTGAGTGTCTCACCTGACACCTTTCCCGCCCCGACGGCTGGTTGAGTAACAGCTTTGTGTTTGCTCTGCCCACGTTGCACAAGTTAAATCTGTAACACCACTTCAATCTGGGGCCTGAGAAAGGGATTCTGCTCCCTGTGCTGCATCAGCATGGACCCTTGCTGCCTTCCCAGTTTCCATTGGAATGCCCTGGGGGGTTCCTGTCTGCCGATGGCACTGCACAAAATGAGCAGTTCCTCAAAGCTCGTGGCAGAGTCCCAAGTTCTGGCTCATGACTGGTGCTGACCTGAAGTCTGCAGTGAAGCACTTCTAAAAACTGCATCAAATTCTGCTTGTCTCAGGGCAGCTTGGTGGAGACCCTGAGGGAAGTGAGGCCAACTGCTTTTCTGGGGGTTCCTCGTGTCTGGGAAAAAATGGAAGAAAAGATGAAATCCATAGGGATGAAATCATCGGCACTGCGGAGGAAAGTGGCCTCGTGGGCCAAGGGAGTGGGGCTGCAGACCAACCTGAAGAGGATGAATGGGTAATTATGAGCTGCAATTAAGGGATGCTCATGAGTGTTAGGAGAACTTTGCTATCAGATCAGGGATTATCTTCCATTCAGGGATTATATCCGACATAACAGGTCAGATTTGTGGGCAGTAAAGCCAAACTTTAGGGTGAGCAGCAAAGGCTGGAGGGCAAATAATTCACTGTTTTACTAAATAAACTAAACTGGGATGAAGAGGAAAGGAGGAAGGGAAAGAAGTTCTACTTGGAGGCTGAGACCTTGTGCCCATTTTCCTCCTCCAGGTATTCTGAGGTGCCGGTGAACTTCCGCCTGGCCAAACACCTGGTGTACAGGAAGGTGAGGAAGGCCCTGGGGCTGGACCGGTGCACCAAGTGCTACACAGGAGCTGCTCCCATCACCAGAGAGACCCTGGAATTCTTTCTGAGCCTGAACATTCCCGTGTTGGAGCTGTATGGGATGAGTGAGAGCTCTGGGCCTCACACCATCTCCCTCCCTCATGCCTTCAAGCTCACCAGGTGAGACCAGGGCTGAAGGGTGGGGTCAAGGTTTCTCCTGCATCTGGCATGTCCATCTCTCCTCATGCAGCTCATCCCGAGTTTTGCTGCCACTAAAGGGTCACTGGGGAGTAGGTTCCTTTGGCCACATCTCACATATGGAGATCTGCCAAGGGCAGCAGCAGCCGGGAGACTTAAATTGAACTTGGCTGGATTCTGGAGGAGCTGAGAAGGAAGGGAGGGGCTGGTGGGAAGAGGAAGAGTTGGTAACGCCAACCTACACTTTAATGGCAGTGAGGGTGTCTTTGAGTGGCTTGTTCAGTCTGCACAGTAAAAGTTTGCTGCCAAGGACATAAGTCTTCTCATTCAGAGCTCAGGTGTGGAGAACAATGAGTGGAAAACCCTAGGTGTGTGAGCACTGATCTCTGCAATAACAACACTTGCTGTAGCTTCCCTTACATGAGCAGATGCCTTTTAAGCTCCTTCCTGAAGCCATTGTACTAAAAAGCTGCTGGGCTTTGTTCAAGCTCGAGAAGGTGCTGCTGTAATCTCTGCTTGAATTTAAAATCAATTATTGCTGTGGGTCTGTGTTCTCTTGCAGCTGTGGGAAGGAACTCTCAGGCTGCCGGACCCTCATTCATAAGCCAGACAGGGATGGCATTGGGGAGATCTGCTTCTCAGGGAGGCACATCTTCATGGGCTACTTGAACATGGAGGACAAAACCAAAGAGGCCATTGATGAGGATGGGTGGCTGCACTCAGGTGACCTGGGCAAGCATGACAAAGATGGATTCCTCTACATCACAGGCAGAATTAAAGGTAACACATCCCCTGATTTGGTTGTCTTGATGTTGTGCAGCACTATGGAATCACAGAGTTATTAAGCTGGGAAAGACATCATGGCATCCAGCCATTCCCCCAGCACTGCCAAGGCCACCACTAACCCCTGTCCCCACATCTACACATCTCTTAAATCCCTCCAGGGATGGTGACTCCACCACTGCCCTGGGCAGCTGTGCCAATGCTGAACACTCTTTCAGTGAAGACATTTTCTCAATATCCAACCTAAACGTCCCCTGGTGCAGGGGAGGCTCCGCTGGTTGTGTGGTTGTGGCTTGCAGAGATTATTTCAATCCTTCTCCTTCTGGAGTTTCCACATGAATGTGGCTGCAATGTGTCCTGTTTGGAGAATGGGGGAGAAACCCTTGGATTTCAGCAGCAGCACTTAATGCTTTGTGGGCTTGTTGCGCCACCAGTTTCAGGAGCTTTGCTGGGTGACTTCCAAGGAAAACAACAGCTTAACCCTGTTGTGCAAGTGCCTTTTAGCAATGAGGTTCTTGGGACACTGCTTTGAGCAACCCCAAACAAAGCCAACAAGAAAGACCTCCAACCTCAGGAAATCTTCAGTTTCTGACAATTTGGGTGCCAACTTAGGTGCCTGAGAGTCCAAGGTGTGTGTGCCAGGGTGCCGAGGGCTCATCCCGTGTTCCCAAACTGCAAACACCTCCCGAGCATTGAGGCAGCTCTCGCAGGGCTGTGTGTGTGTTCATGGCTCCAGCTCCTCTCTCCTGGCCTGGCTGGAGACATGGAGTCATCATTAAGGTTGGAAAAGCCTTCTAAGATTATCAAATCCAACCATTCCCTCAGCACTGCCCAGGCCACCACTAACCCATGTCCCCAAGTGCCACATCCACACATTTTTTTGAACACTTCCAGGGGTGGTGACTCTACTGCTTTCCCAGTCCTGGTGTGCTGCCTTCTCCACTCACTTTTTGATCAAGGAGACATGAAGGAGCTGTTGAGTTGTTTCAGATTGTGGGAAGGGGAGAAGTTCCAGGCATTAACCAAGACTTGACTGTTTTCCAGAGCTCATCATCACTGCGGGAGGGGAGAACGTTCCTCCCGTTCCGATTGAGGATGCCGTCAAAAATGCTGTTCCCATCATCAGCAATGCCATGTTGGTTGGGGACAAAGCCAAATTCCTGTCAATGCTTCTGACACTAAAGGTAATGGAAAACAGGGAGGGAACCCACCTGTGTCGCTGAATGTGATCAGTTCCAGGGAGGAAGAGGATTGTTGCACATTTTTGGTGTCTTGTGGAGACAGGAGGCTCTGTGGGGCACAGTTTGTTGTAGCTGAGCTGCAAAGAGCAGCTGTAACCACAGCAAAGTTGTCACTTGCTCAGACCACCCTGTTCAGGGCAACTTTCTGTGCCACAAAGGGCAGGAAGAAAGAGAAGGAAAAGACCTAAAAGTGAGGCTGAAAAAGGAACCCTTCTGCTTTTCTCACCTGCTTTAGTCTCTCCCAAGCAGTCTGGGCAATAAGCAGCTGTCAGGGATTGCTTTGTCAGACTCTGGCTTCAAACTCCACCAGGACATGTCCACGGTGGTCCCACACAGGCTTTGCAGGACAGTGGGAATTAGTGAGACTTAGGATCAACAGCCTCACCTGGGGTAGGAGACCCGAGCCAGGCCCTGGAGGTGGCCCTGCTGTGCTTGTCATGGTTCTGTGTTGTGTGTATTGACTGTGGGGTGCAGGGAAGTGAACTGTGGCGCAGAAAAGGTCTGGAAAAAAGTGATTGACTTTAGATAGCACAGGAGGGATTTGGCAGATGAGCTCTGTTTGGTCCTTGGCATCAAGGTGGCTGTTGAGCAGGCAGAGCTCTGAGGTTTATCCGTGTTTTGTCCCAAGTGTCCATTGGCTGCCAGGGTTTGGATGAAGCTGCAGGGGCTGGTGGAGTGACAGCTGGGAGCAGGGTGGGAAAAGAGCCGTGGCACCATCCCAGGGCAGTGTTTTGGTGCTCAGCAATACAAAGGGACCTGTTGTGGCTCGTCCTGCAGTGCAAGGTGGATGCGGAGACAGGTGAACCGGGGGATGAGCTCACTCCAGAGGCTCTGGAATACTGTCAGAAACTGGGCAGCAAGGCCACAAAGGTCTCTGAAATCATCAGCAGCAAAGACAAGGCCATCTACGCCGCCATCCAGAAAGGCATCACAGCGGTCAATGAGGGAGCCACCTCCAATGCCCAGAAAGTCCAGAAGTGGGTCCTTCTGGAGAAGGACTTTTCCCTCTTTGGTGGAGAGCTTGGTGAGTGATGGGTGAGGCATCTGGGGTCCCCCATGCACCCCTTCCTTGGCTGTTGAACACCAGCATAACCAGGACCCCCAAAACAGAGCTCCCCATGGCCTTTCCTCGCCAAGGCTTTTCTATGTTGCAGTTTGGGAGGTGGGATGAGTTGGGATGAATTCCCACCTTTGCCCAGCAGCACCGAGCTGAGCTGTGCTCACCCTTGTTCTGAGATGCCTCTTGCAGGATGATGGAATCACAGAATGTCCTGAGCTGGAAGGGACCCAGAGGGATCATCAGTCCAACCCCTGGCCCTGCCCAGGACACCCCAACAATCCCACCCTGTCCCTCAGAGCATTGTCCAAACGCTTCTGGAGCTCTGGCAGCCTTGGGGCCGTGCCCACTGCCCTGGGGAGCCTGGGCAGTGCCCCAGTACCCTCTGGGTGATGCTGTGCTGNCTGCCCAGGCTCCCCAGGGCAGTGGGCACGGCCCCAAGGCTGCCAGAGCTCCAGGAGGGTTTGGACAACGCTCTGAGGGACAGGGTGGGATGGTTGGGGTGTCTGTGCAGGGCCGGGAGTTGGACTGGATGATCCCTGTGAGTCCCTTCCCACTGAGGATATTCTGTGATTCTATGAACTCCCACGTAGCATGGCAAATTCTCTTTAGCCCTGACCAGGTGGGGCACAAAGGAACCATGTTACCAACCATGACAAAGAGGGTGATGTTGGTGGGTCCCAAGGCCTCCAGCGACTCGGGCTCCTCAGGGGATCGCCTGTAGTGGAATGTCGTGCCGGCGATGTCAAAGCGTCGGGGGGGATCGATGGAGAGCCTCCCGTTGAGGAAATACTCACCGCTCTCCCCTCTCAGCGCTGCAGGGACAGGGGGGGAAGGTCAGCAGAAGGGCTGGAAGCACCTGGACCAACTTCAGCCGGGTGCTTCTCACCTGCAGTGCTATGACAGAGGGTAAATGGCATCAGCCTTATCTTACAGGGAGGGGAGAGGTGGGGTGTGGGTCAGAAAATCAGTGTCTCAGCCTGCCCAGCACTTCACTGTGGGAAGGAGATGCCCTGGGGGGCTGAGCCAGCTGCTGGGAGGGTGTGGGGACACCTGGCAGTGTGAAAGCTGTGGCCACGAAGCCAGGCTCAAATCTGACTGTGCAAACGGGGTCCCGGCTGCCGGGGCTGATGGAGGCAGCGAGTGCCCCGAGCCGGGCTGTGCTTGCCCGGGCGAGTCGCTAGAGGGGGATCGGACCGCTCGCTCCTTCCCCAGCGCATTCCCACGCTCTCCCTTCGCCCTCTGCCACCAGCACTCTGGGATCAGCTCTGTGTCACTCGCTGCTGGCAACGACCCCAGTGCCACCGTGCTCCGGGGCAGGGAGGATCCTTCGTGCTCATGAGGATGCTCCCTCCACCTCGGGTGCCAGGAGAGATCCTGGGCAGGGAGGGAGAGCCTGATGACAGCAGGTGATAGCGATGGGAGCTTGGGCTGTGCCCCAGAGCACAAAGGTCCAGGGTGGATGGACACAAGGAATCCCCATACACTGAAAAGAAGGGGATGTCAGCATGTCTGATCCCCCAGTTGGGCTGGGGGGATGATCCAGGAGAATCCCACTGCGAAATCCCACCAGTACCAGCGATCCAGGAAGGCTCCTGCTCCTGCAGAGCCGCTGCAGTGCCCACCCTGCCCACCCCTCCACCGCTGGGACGGCAGAAAGGGAAGACAAGGGCAAAGAAAATGCTCCTTGTAAAAGCAAGAGAGAGCGTAGCTGGAAAATCAAGCCCAAGGAAAACGTGAGCAGGTCTATTTTTAATGCCCAGCCCGATAAGCTGGGAGAGAGGGGAATGCCAGGGAGCCACAGGCAGCACCAGGAATGGTAGGATTTGCTCAGGGTTATGGTGCACAAGACAGAGGCAGCACCACAAGGACAGAGGGGACACTTGGATATGGCTTGGGATACACTGCCCTGCCAGCAGACCCCACGGCCCCTCTCCTGCTCCCAAATCCCACCCTGGGAGCCCTGGCCCCATCCCTGGTGGCAGTAGGAAGTTCTCCTTGCTGGACCTTTCCTGCACCCTATTAATGGCCAGTCTTCGTGAGCGTAGATTTGGGAAAGGTCATTAACCCTTCGAGCCTGCGCAGTGGATTTTTTAGGTGAGACACAGCGTGCGCTGAACTGAGCCCACCCTTTAATCCTG